ATTTGTAGATAAACTAAATGGCAAATAATGCTAACACAAAAGAGGTATCAAAAATAGGTGTTAAGTACTCACAATATTTGAATTCTGAAAAGGGCTAATCAGTGACTAGAACAGATAGGATAGAGTTTAAAAAAGAATTACAATATAAAATGTGCCCAGCAGCATATTGAAATATTAAATCTTAACCTGAAATGCTCATCTAATTAGAAATTTCCATACAAAAAAACCAACACAAATGATAAATAAATAAAAGTAAGCAAGCTAGTTGTGCCTGAAAGCAAGGATATGCTCAAAGAATTATGGAGATATGTTAAAGGGAGACAGACACGGAGTTAATGGGCTCCCACTGGCCAAATGTGGTACATTTTGAGCACTACAACAATTACTGAATAAATACCATCTATTGAATAAAATAGGAATCTATGAAACAGAAATTTTGTAAGTAAATAGAACAGTTGAAAGTTTCATAAGGAATGGGCTATTTACATAGTTTAAAAGTAACTTCCCACAAAAACTTGTAATTTTTTAAGTATAAAAGAGTAACCTTATAGTGAAGAATACTGGTAAACACCATCTCAGTTATGTGATTAAACTGATCATCATCAGAAATAGTAAATATCAAAATTACACACCACCTGATAGGATGTTAAGAGAAGAACTAGCATCACCTCTGTGACATCACTGCCCAAAATGAGTAAATCTAATCATGAAGAAACATAAAAGAATTGAGGCACATTCTATAAAATAAATGGCCTATAAAATGTAAATGTGCTGGGATGGCTAGGCTGGGGCCTCACTACTATAATCCCAGGACTTTGGGAGGATAAGGTGCGAGGATTGCTGATGCCAGGAGTTCGCGATCAGCCTGAGCAATGTAGACAGACCCAATCTCTAGAAAATATTTTTAAAAAATTAGGCAGGCATGGCAGAGAATGCCTGTAGTCCCATCTACTCAGGAAGCTGAGGCAGGAGGATTGCTTCAGCCCTGAAATTCAAGGCTATAGTAGGTTATGATCATGCCACTGCACTCCAGCCTGGGCAACAGACTAAGACCCTGTTAATTAATTAATAAATAAATAAATAAATAAATGTGTTAGGATCATAAATGGCAAATAAATATGATGATACATTTCTGAATAAAGGAGACAGAGGAAACAGAACAATTAAGTTTTCCTGAACGAAATCCTTTGCTAGTTACCAGGACAACTAGCAAAACTAAAATGGAGTTTGAAAATTAAGGTGGAAATTAATTTTTAGGTCTTTAGATGCTTATTTTGTGGTTGCAAAAAAGAGTGTCACCATTTATAAGAAATACACATTCAAACACTGAGGATAACAGAGCATTGTGTTGGCAACCTACTTTCAAACGGTGCAAGGAAAAAAATATATGTGGCTCTGTGGAAAGCCCTGAGCATATAAGAGTCAATAAGGTACAAATTTATTTTATAAAAGAAACCCCAATATTAGTGGAGACAGACAAGTAGACATCCAGTCCTATAATAGAGTATAAAATGAGTGACACAAAGAAGAGAAGAATTAATTCTAATTAATTCTACCTAGATAAGGAGAGGACATAGGGAATTCGTAACATGAATGTTGAATGTTTCTTATTTATTTTTCCTATGGACCTCATCTGACTAGATATTGAATATTTAATAAATGAAAAATATATGTCATGATCCAACTAATACACTTCTAAACTGAAATATTTGTAGAACCATTCATTAACCTCAACACGAACTTAAATACTTACTGTAGGCATTTTTTGAAGAAAAAAGGAGATATAACAAATACCATCATGAAGGTAAAAATATTTTAAATATTTCTTATAGAAGGAAGAAATTGGACTTTGTATGTATGAGCAGTTGCAAATTCCCATACTTAATCGTTACACAGTATGTATTATTGCGAGTGAATTAAAATTTGGGCATAAATGATCATTTGTCTGATGGGACCATTAGAAGAAATGAAGAGATACCACTTTAGTGACTAAAATTCCATTTCCTAGTTTCTTTCTAATTGAGGAACAGCTGGTATGGACAGATGTTCCATGGCGATAGCTTAGAAAACTTGTTTGGTTCCAAAAGGTAAGAAACTGAGATGGTGGTGATAGTTGCACAAAAACGTGGATTGGAACTATTAAAATGGTACATTTTATGTTACATGTATTTTACCACACTTTTTTGAAAAGCCATGAATCAGCTGGGATGGTCGGGCATGACAGCTCATACCTGTAATCCCAGCACTCTGGGAGGCAAAGACAGGAGAATCACTAGAGCCCAGGAATTTGAGGTTACCATGAGCTATGACAATGCCATTATACTCACACCATCCTGGGTGACAGAGTGAGACCTTGTCTCTAAAAAAAAATTTTTTTTGTGGAAAAACATCAATGAATAAATAAATAAAAAGCTAAGATTTCCCAATTTAACTGGAGAATAAAATAACTAAGATTAAATAAAATGAACAAGGCCGGGCATGGTGGCTCACGCCTGTAATCCTAACACTCTGGGAGGCCAAGGCAGGCGGATCGTCTGAGCTCAGAAGTTCAAGACCAGCCCAAGTAACAGTGAGAGCCCATCTCTATTAAAAATAGAAAAAAATTACCTGGACAACTAAAAACATATACAGAAAAAATTAGCCAGGCATGGTGGCACATGCCTGTAGTCCCACCTACTCGGGAGGCTGAGACAGAAGGATTGCTTGAGCCCAGGAGTTTGAAGTTGCTGTAAGCTAGGCTGATGCCACGGCACTCTAGCCCCCAGGAAAGAGTGAGACTCTGTCTCAAAAAAACAAACAAACAAAAAATGCACAAATAGATTTCATGTCTGTAATCTTTTCTGAAATGTGACAATAGGAATACAAAGAGTAAAAATATATGCTGAAGGATAAGGATTCAAGATTTAAACATTTTAATTAAAGCTGATGAATGAATTCAAATAGAGCTTGGATTATGAAAATGCTAAGATCTTACCAAGCAGTAATTTGGTTTTCCCTTAGATATTAATTAGAAATATTAACGAAATACATATTTATCAAGAAGTACCAATCTGTAAATGTCAGAACTCACATCAGAAAGGTTAAGTAAAAGCATGGGTTTTTTTAATCTTCAGATCTCCAGTGCTAGTGTGATAATTAAAAACTATATCACACTACTGCAGTAGAACAAATTGATCTATGTAAATATGTAGGGGTATTTTTAAGAAGGCAAAACAGATTGCAATGTTACACCAAGCAAGGTAGCTGAGCATAGAGAGGTTAATGGGTAACTTTGATGTTTTGCTCCATGTACTTCAAGATTGTCTAATGTTTACTCACAAGATGTTTTTAGTATTACTTGCAAAATGAAATAAAGACACTAAAAATAGAGGAAAACAATAAAACCAAAGAAAATAAGACATTATTTGAAAATAAAAGACCATATCTATCACTGCTACAGTTATACAACATTTTAGAGTTCCTAGCCAATGTAATAAGATAGAAAAATAAAATTCTAAAAAGTCATAAAATATTATCAGAAAATATATTCTATTTAGAAAATTTACTGAAAAAACTATTTGATATTACAAGAGAAACAGGCAATGCAGAAAGATACAAATTCAATGCAAAACAATCAATAGTTTTGCCATACCACAGCAATGACTAACTTTAAAATGTAATGATTCCTAGATACAAAACTTCTATAATACAAAAATGTCACTTCTAACTGTATTAAAAAGTCATATCAATGTAATCAAAGTAAAAATCTCCACAGGATTCATTATATAATTCAATAGAGTCACTCTAAAACACAATAGCCAGGAAAATTTTGAAAACAAACAATAAATCATGTTAAAAAGCTAAAGTAAGTAAAACAACGTCATTTTGGTAAATGGTGTTCATTTTTATTTTCTATCAGAAATTTCCAAGCAGACACAAAAGTATGGAGAATGCAATCAAGAACCACCTACAGGGACATTGCTCAGCTTCAATAATTAACACTGTGCAAATCTGGCTGACTATATTTCATTGTTTGTTTTGACAGAATATTTTAAAGCACATTATGAGATATCAGATCTTTTTTACCTATAAAAACTTCAGGATATATGCCTAACAGATAAAGATTTAAAAAAAAAAACTACAATATAATTACACACTCAGTAAATTAATAACACTTGATAAATATAATATTCAGCTCATGATCAATTTTCTCTGTCTTAAAAATGTTTCTTTATACTTTGATTAAATCATGGTCCAAAGTTCTCATTTTGCATTTACTTGATGTACATCATAAAGTCTCTTTTTTATTTTTCTTTTTTTTTTGCAGCAACATGGATGGAATATAAAGTCTCTTGTAATTAATAACCATCCCTCTATTTTCTTTTGTCATTTATTTGTTCCATTATCTAAATCAATTCTCTCCTACTGCTCAATTATTTGTAGTGTTTGCCAATTTTCATGATTAAATATTCTCACCATGGATGATTTCACACTACCTATGTTAAGTCACTGAAAACAGTGTTGGGGAGAGATGTGCATAACTGGCTCTCACTAGCCATTGTGAACTGCCTCCAGAATATCCATATACTAATATCTATTATGAAACAGAATTGTTTTATGTATATATGAATATGTGTGTGTTTACATGTGTATGTGTGTATGTATGTACATATTTACGTATATAGAATCAAAATGCCTAGTAAAAGTATGGAGGGACAGGTATCAAATGCATGACAGGGGTTTTCTCTGGGGCAAAAAATGGAATTAGGTTCGGTGGAGCAGAATAAACAGAACTACTGTTTTATCAAAATTTGTTGAATTTTTTGATAACAGGTGTTCATCTAGTGCTTATGTATTTATTGGGTCAAAATGGGCTTTTTTTCTTAGTTATCTAACCCACACTATCACAAAGAGCAATATTTTCTCACATTAACATTAAGCTCCAAGGTGATATAAATGACCAACTAGAGTAGATGTCATATTACACAAAAAATGGCCTTCTGAAAAAATACACAGCTTACTTTGGCTTCAGTTTCACCTCTGTGAAGAGTATACAGATGGTGGACAGCACTTTGTGATGAGGACCAAGGATGAGTCAGAATTTGGAAGACATGAAAATCATGGCCAAGGGTGTCAGTTGTGACCAAAAGCATTCCTGGAAGACAAAAAACAAAGGGTTAAAATGAAAATGATTGTGTATATGATGAAATATTTTAAAAAGCTATTCAACATATTTTAAAATATCATCAAAGGAAAAAAATTACAAGGATTTAAGAAACTTTCCAGGCCGGGCGCGGTGGCTCACGCCTGTAATCCTAGCACTCTGGGAGGCCGAGGCGGGCGGATTGCTCAAGGTCAGGAGTTCAAAACCAGCCTGAGCGAGACCCCGTCTCTACCATAAAAAATAGAAAGAAATTAATTGGCCAACTAATATATATATATAAAAATCAGCCGGGCATGGTGGCTTGTGCCTGTAGTCCCAGCTACTTGGGAGGCTGAGGCAGGAGGATCGCTTGAGCCCAGGAGTTTGAGGTTGCTGTGAGCTAGGCTGACGCCACGGCACTCACTCTAGCCTAGGCAAGAAAGCGAGACTCTGTCTCAAAAAAAAAAAAAAAAAAAAGAAACTTTCCAAAACAAAATATTTTCCTGTGAATAATAAACTTAATGTCACATCAATATGCCAGTAAAGAATAAATACTAGAAGTACAGGTATTATTATATTACATTGCCATATGACTAGCAGAGAGAAGTTTTTTATGTCTTAATTTATACAGGTGACATTTTTATTATTTAAAAAAAGAATGGGAAAAGGGCATACCTCTATGAAACTAAAACATATGTCCTCTTTTTGCAACTTCTTCAAAATTGAATTTTAAGTTCCATTTTATCTACTGATCAAACTACTAAATCTCCCACATAATTCACCAGTTTAAAACTTGTTTCTAAACATAATGAGCGAGATGTACATTTGGGGATGGTCATGCTTGATACTCTGACTCAAGGGGGGAGGAGGGCATGGGCAATATACGTAACCTTAACATTTGTACCCCCATAATATGCTGAAAAATAAAAAAATAAAACTTGTTCTACCCAGGCAGCATATTTATGAAAACTGCCTACAGTGCTTTTCACGGAGCAATTTCTTAATTTTGGTGAGATGTCATATCTAAGAATTCTTTGCCTAAATGAAGGTTCATAAGGATTTTCTGTTTTCTTGTAAAAGTTTCATAGTTTTATGTTTTACACTTAAGTCTATCATCCAGTCTATCGTGAATTTACTTTTGTATAAAATACACAGACCTTATACAAAAGATACACAAAAGGTACACAAGGTTAACTTTTTTTGCATAAGATGTTCAATTGTTCCTGCAAGATTTCTTTAAGAAACTGTTCCATCTTCATTGAATTAACATTGTTAGCTTACCAAATATCAATTGGCCATTATTTCTGTAGGCCTGTTTTTGGATGCTCTATTGTATTCCATCAATTTCTGTGTGTATATATATTCACTAATGTCATACTCTTGATTACTGTAACTTTATAGAAAATCTTGACATCAGGTAAAGTGAGTCTAATTTTCTGGGCTTTGTAACATTATTTCAGCTATTCTCATTCAGGAATTTGGGGGGAATTGTGTTAAGCAAATAAATCAATTTGGGGATAATTAATATCTTAATACTAAGTCTTCTAATCCATGAATGCAGCACATTTCATGATTTAGATTTATTTTGAATTCTTTTTCTTAATATTGAGCACAAAGATTCTGAATTTATTTTCTTAGATTATAAATGGTAATTACAGGTGTTAGCCATGATGCCTGGCCTACTTGGGTCTATTTTGAAGGCTTTTAACTAGCATTACAATTTTTTATTTTTTTTAGGCAGAGTCTCACTCTGTTGCCCAACCTCAAACTCCACAGCTTAAGTGATTTTCTCCAGATTTCATAATTGTTTTCCTTAGGAAGGTGGGTTTGTTAGCTTACTCTGCTATTCCCAGAAGTGGAATCACATTAGCAAACTTATTTTTCCAAAATATTTAAGGGGGTACATTTGTACCCCCTTAAAAACAATGTATTTGTTACTTGGATACCTTTTATAATGCTTTAGTTGGGGCTTTAGTGTGCCCATCAATCAAATAGTGTTCACTGTACCCGATAAGTAGGTTTTTACACCCTCTGTATTCCCGCCTTGGTTTCCTGTCTCCTTCACATCTCTTTGGGCCTGTGTGTGCCCAGCAATTAGGCCCCAATTATGAGAGCATACATGCAGTGCTTGTTTTTCCATTCCTGAGATATTTCACTTAGGATAATGGTCTCCAATTCCATCCAAGTTGCTGTGGAACACATAATTTCATTCCTTTTATGGCTGAGTAGTACTCCAGGTATATACATACCACATTTTTTCTTTTTTTTTAATTTTATTATTAATTTTTTAATATTATGGGGATACAAACATTTTGGTTAGATTTAATGTGTTTGCTTCACCCAAGCCAGAGCTACAAGTGTGTCCTTCCCCAAACTGTGGTGCGCTTCTATTAGTTGTGCGTTTGCCCCCCCCAACCCCTCATCTGACTGGCACCCAATGAGTATTACTACCATGTGAGCACCTTAGTGTTGATCAGTTAGTACCAATTTGATGGCGAGTACATGTGATAGATGTTTTTCCATCCTTGTGATACTTCACCTCAAAGGATGGGCTCAATCTCTATCCAGGATAATATAAGAGGTGCTAGTTCACCATTGTTTTTTGTAGTTGAGTAGTATTCCATGGTATACATATACCACATTTTATTAAGCCACTCATGTATTGATGGGCACTTGGGTTGTTTACACATCTTTGCAATTGTAAATTGTTCTGCTATAAACATTCAAGTGCAAATGTCTTTATTATAGAATGTCTTTTTTTCCTTTGGATAGCTGCCTTGTAGTGGAATTGCTGGAACAAATGGTATTTCTACCTTTACCTCTTTGAGGTATTTCCAAATTACTTTTCATAGAGGTTGCACTAATCTGCAGTCCCACAAGTAGTGTAAGAGTGTTCCAATCTCTCTACATCCATTCTACCATTTGTTATTTAGGGACTTTTTGATAAAGGCCATTCTCACTGGAGTTAGGTGATATCTCATTATAGTTTTCATTTGCATTTCTGTAATGATTAGAGATGGTGAGCACTTTTTTATGTTTGCTGGCCATTATTCTGTCTTCTTTTGAAAAGTTTCTATTGATATCCTTTGCCCATTTATTGATGGGGTTGAAGAACCATGGAAGTACAGCTGCCAGGACTGCTGGCAGCGAGTGGGTTGCTGGGATAGGACTGTGGGGCCGGAGCCTCCAGGCAGCCAAGGCTCTCTCCCTGCCCAGGTACTGCAGAGGCAGTTACCACAAGGCTTTCAGGTGGCATCTGTGGTGCCCTCTGCTAAAATCCCCTCTTCAGGGGGAGGGGTGCTTTGCTGCCAGTCACAGATCTTGGCATAGAAGAGCAAACATTTTGCTGCTCCTTCACCAGACCAGCAGAGGGGCAACGCATAGATGGCTACAGCAAGGCCAAGCTCTGTGTGCCTTAGACCTGAGAGCTGAGAATGAAGTCAGCTGCAGTAACCCAGAATGGAAGCCACCAGCTTCCTGCTGCACCCACTGGCCAGTGCAATGCAGACTCCAAACAGCTCACTGATCAGACCAGAGGTCTAAGGTGGTGGTGGGGACCCCCTCACAGCTTGTGCGGCAGTGCTTGCAGTGGGGGGAGTGAGGAGCCCCAGGGCTTTCTCCTTCTATCCTTCCCCATGTGTGGATGCCTTCCAGGGGTACCTTCCAATCTTACAGCATGGATCGCCCTGTCATCTTCTCCTTCACTCTCAATGTGACCCACTTCTCCAGTGATTTACAATGTTTGTTCCAAGAATGCCCATCCATAGGTGGGCATCCACCTGCAATTTTTGATCCTCTCCTTAAGAGTAGCATGCACAGGCTGCTTCTACTCCCCCATCTTGCCCTTCCACCCTGAAAACTTTTAAACTTGTATTTTCTTGAAGGAAAAGCCATGAAAGAATATTAAGCATCTGTGGGAAGACAAATTTATTTAAATGAAAAGAGGAGGTATACTTCAGTTTGCTATTTCTTTGGCTAATCTATGGTCCAGCTCTAGTCACTACATTAGAGTAAAATATCATACTACGGTAGATGTCCGCTGTTCTAGCTATTCCCAAGAGAATACATTTTTGATGATGAAAAGTGCCATTTATTATAAATAATGTAGTAACTTTTTATTAAACCTAAAACTGTACATACAACCTTACCTCCCATGATGAACTTGCACCTATGTATTCCTCACATACTATTAATAAGCTTACTACATTTTGTATCATATCAACGTTTTAAATAGAATATTCAAATAAAAGTCCTCAGTTGCCAAATAAAGACTATTATTGTACACTTTTGAATATGCTACTAGCTTTTCAAACTGGCGTTAATCTGCTTAGTTACTATGTAAAACCATTTCAAATTTTTAAGGATATGCCCACTGAAAAATTACACCTATTATCTTCTGTGTATCCTATCTCAAACATTTTTTTCCTACTCCTCCATGCAAATGTGGCTTCGATAATCCACCAATGAGTTTAATTTTTTTCAGAAAACTTTTAAAATAACATAAAAAAATTATTAGTGGAGAGGAAAGGAAGAAATATCTAGAGTAGGACTACGTAATCATGCGCTTCCTTTTAATTTCCTCTTTTGCACATTTTTTCTCTGTTGGGGAAATAAGTTTTTTTTTTCTCAAAAACAAGTTAAAAAGCACATATACATAAAAGGAAAAACGTGTACAGAGTAGACTGCGGCTTGAGAACTATTTATGCAGCATCAGAAGACTAAACCAGACTCTGGCCTGGCCATAAACTAAACCCACGCCCCAAATGAGGTGCCAAGCCACAAAAAGCATTTGCGTCATCTGGGAATACAAGGAAAATGAAGGACTTCTAATTATAGGTCCTGGAAGCGGAAGCCTAGAGTGATTAGCTGTTTAGGCACTGCTGTATGTTTATCTGGAAGCTTCCTTTCCCTCACTCTTAGCCTCAACTTTGATAGATGAGCATTAGCGTTAGAGGGTGGGGACTGAAGCTGCTGATGGTACACAGCGTTCTCCAAAATCTGAAGTAGCTGGA